GTTAAGGTATCTTCCCAGGGTGTCGTCCAGGGGTGGGCAAGAATGCCATCTGATTGGCATTGTTTAAAGCCTGCGGTGGGGAAGCATAAGCAGCTGGTCCAAGAAGCTGATTACATAGACGAAAATCATAGCATGGTGCCAGGGTACCAGCCATATCCTCAGGGCATAGTGGGTGTGTTTTCTCTCCCTGTGGACGAGTCTAAATCCTGGGCGCACACAAGTCATGATTTACATGGTGCAAGCACAAACTGCAAGGACAGTTTTTCAGGATTGTTTTGGGGATTTGCCCAAATGTTGCTCAAGCAAATTGCAAAGGGGGTGGTCTCTTTGACACAAGCTACCTTTCATGTTTCCTGTTCCCCTGTGCTCTGCTGCCCTGAGTCAGCAATTGCTTTTTGACAGAAGGCCCAGTGGGTGCTTTCTGAGCTGTCCTCATCACCTTCTGCAGAAAACACACCGCACTCCTCCCAGCCAGTTCGGAAGTGCAGGCACCGTCCTGGGAAGATCTTAGAGAGATTTGCAAATAAGAGTGGTATCTTTGCTTTGGCATGGGGTTGGTCTTGGCACTAACCAAAACCGCAGCTTTCCAAACTAAAACCTGAGGCCAGAAGGTCTTGCGAGTTCCCAGTGCAAACCGGATTTGCATGGTTTCAACCCTCCTGGTTCAATCACTGTCCATTTCAGGAAAGGAAGTTCAGTTTTGACCTACCCTTCAAATATATCCTGGGGGGCAGAGGGCTGTGGAGCTCTGTGTGTCCGCTGTCATCTGATTTAACACATGAGAAGGCTGTGGAAGTAAACAATGGCTTTCTAGAATGTAAGGCACTACAATAAGGTAGTGCATGCCTTGCGTGGCACTTGAGGTCCTCAGGAGCCCCACCCCACTGCTGTCTCCCTGCCGCCCACCGGCTCCCTCCCGACACACATCTGTCAGGCTCTCCACTGGAATGTGTCCTGTGATCATCCATAGAACCCATACCTCTTCATTGCTTTATCAAATTCTCATTTTTCTCTAATCTCATCTATCACCCATTTCTCTAATTCCATTGTCAGTATTCTTGATTTATTTTTAGTTCAATAATTGTGTCTTTTATTTCTGGAATTTTTCTTTGATTCTCTTTCAAACCTGCCTTCCCCTATTTCCTTTCTAATAGCTCCATTTTCTGTGGTTCCCGAAACATGGGTTTTTGATCATTTGTTTGGTCCGCTTTTTCTCTCGCACACAAAGGATTGCCTCCTCTTCATTTTGTAAATTTTAACTCTGAGCTCAAGGCCCACAGGAATTGTCCTGCCCAAGCCCTAGGCAGGTGATGGACACATCTCTGTCAATAGATTTTGAGGATGCCTTTTCAGGAGGGCCTAAACACTTGGCAGATGCATTGTTAAGTTCATTTCTGAGTTCTGGATTTCTACACGGGCCAGGCTGTGTACGTTTGGAGCCGATGCACGTGCACAGAGCAGGCTTGGGGGTCTAACGTCTCTGAGGTGACTTGTTCCAGAGCCCTTGTCTGGCTTCCTCCCATTGTCCCAGGTCACAGGCTTCAGACTGTCCCTCTGCAACTGCAGGCTTTCTGCAGCCCTGTTGGCCCCAAGTTTCTCCGTGTGGCCAACCTGAGTCTTCATTCCTCTCTCCCAGTGGCTCTGAAACCACAGCTGAAGGATGGGCCCTAGCCCCTCAGCAGCCATTCAATTTCTTTTTTGTTGTTGTTTGTTTGCTTTTTATACCTAAGGACTTCTCCTTCTAACTCTCTTATTTCTGTTTTATTTTGTTATTGTTGTTGCTTTATTTTGTGCAGCATCTCATTCCATATCTGCTCAGGCTGAAAATATGTGCTCAGCATGGTATAGGCTTTATTTTAGCTCAATTCACACAATAACCCTATGAGGTGGGTACGCTCATCAACCTGAGGATTTAAAGTCAGGATTTAAAAGGTTCACTTATTTTCCCAAAGTCCAGAACACGATTGCCCAGAAGTTCCTAAAGCATGTGTGACAGCGGGCCCATCCCCCACGGGCTCGGCCTGCAGACCGCCTCCTGGGAGCCCTCCTTGCTGCCTCTCTGTGGCTGCCCCCAGCGCAGCGGCTCACAGCAGGCTGCAGGCTTGGCCCCAGCCACGCTCACGCGGGAGCTTTCTTGCCATCCCCTGCTGCAGATGGGCCTCTCCCCTCTCTCCATCTTGCACGAGCCCATAGGAACGCACCTCCTCAATCTCCCCCTCCAGTACATGTTGTAAATTCTGAGTGGGAGTAAGGGTCAAGGAATGAGGATGGGTGAGAGAGGCATGTCTGGAATTGGCAGCACACTGGCCGGAGGGCGGGGAAGAGGGAGGTAGGCTAAAGCCACGTCCAGGGTTCTGGGATGAGGAGCACTTGCTGAGGCGGGGACACGGGACGGGGCCGGGGGAAGCTGGAGCGTGGGAGATGGGCTCCGCGTGGGACACGGTAAGTCTGAGGGCCCGTAGCATGTCAGGTGGGCCGTGCGGGGACAATTTGACATGCAAGTCCATCACTCAGGAGAAAAGTGTCTGCTCCAGACCCTGATTTGGCAGTGAGTGTGCGAAGCTGAGCCACTGGTTGTGCATGAAATGGACACACAAGAGGCTGAGTGTGGAAGCCAAGGGGGGTGACATCGAACTCCTGACATACACTCCTTGAGATCAGAAACCATGTCATTTCTCTTGCTCTTTCTAAAGGCGCCTGAGACAGGACTGGCCCTCCTCCTATGGAGGGTTGCGGCAGAGATCCCGTAGCATAAGGGATAGGAAAAGCTGCTTTAAAACGGAGAAGCACGGTCCAGGATTGATTGTTGTGATGACTACCATCCTCCTCCTCCTGCCCCAAACCCCCATACCTCCTGCCGGCTGCAGGATGAAAGCAGCCCTAGTCCTGTGGCCTCATCTCCCAGCCTTGCCTTTCCCAACCCGGCCTGGCCCCTCCGCGCTCTGTGTCTGCCCTTCTTCCCACCTCCAAGGGCAGATAACCTTTGAAGGGCCACATTGCAAGTTCGGAGCTGGTTTTTCCAGGAAATCCGGTATTTTGAATGCAGCTATTCAACGTGAGATACATTTCCCTCCCACCCATTATGTGCCAGGGGCTGACACTTTAAAGGATATTTGGACCAACCAACCAGTCAGCAGCCTGATTTCCACCTCCCCTCTCATGGGAGGCTTCCATGGCCCCTGACTCACCCTGGAGTACCAGCCTCCTGCCAATTCAGGCCCCGCTTGGCATTGTCCCTGCTCATCACACGTCCCTGGGCCTCTGGTCTCTGGGTCACTTGCCGGCTCAATAGCAGCTGCAGCCGCCCACCCTGGGCACACAACTGCACGTGTCCAGGGAGTAAAGTGTCTCTGGCCCAGTGGAGGCCCTGGGCGTCGCCTCAGTGGATGGCAGTGGACAGGCTTGGTGCCAACTGCGTCCGCCAGTGATTCATGAACAGGCAGGAATTCAAGTTCTTCTCTCTCCCCCTGACCCCAGGAAAGGTCACTTTGCCTAATTTCCTTCTTTCATGGTTGAGCCACTGCATGGACACATTAATTTCTGCTGACTCCTGGCTTGATCATTTTTCAATTACAGTTTGTCCCTCCAATTCTAGCAGAAGGCTAATGTGGGTCTCTTCCTGATCATAGATCCACATGAGTGAAACCCTAACTAGGCATTTCCTTTAGCTGCCATCGTAGATTACTTGGTGCGAGAAGTCTGCAGGCATAAGCCTAGCCTAAGCTAAAAGCCTGTTTAGATGCCCAATTAGGAGCTACCTGAGGAAGCTCCCCAGCATTCCTGCCTGTGAATCTAGCTGAGGCTGCTTCCCACTCCCAGAACACCCTCCCTTTCAACCTTGGAGAATATAAATCTTGCCATCTTTTATGAACCATTTTAAAATGAGATAAAATATATCCCCTTTCAAATTGCCAGGATTCTATATTTTCTTAATACTCCATGTGGTAAGGGTACAACTCATGAGCACTCTTATAGTCTGCGGGCCAGAGAATAAATAGGCACAAACTTTTGCAGAAAAAAAAAAAAATTGACAGTGTGTATCAGGAGCCTTCAAAATACCTTCAACCTGGGCACCTGGGTGGTTCAGGTGGTTAAGCGTCTGCCTTCGGCTCAGGTCATGATCCGAGGGTCCTGGGATCGAGTCCCGCATCGGGCTCCCTGCTCAGCAGGGAGTCTGCTTCTCCCTCTCCTTCTGCCATTCCCTCCGCTTGTGCTCTCTGGCTCTATCTCTCTGTCAAGCAAATAAATAAAATCTTTAAAAAAAAAGTATCTTCAACCTTTGGCCCAGTAGTTCTATTTCCATGAATCTTTCCCAAAGATGTAATCAGAAATGCAGACAAATATTTATGCATAAAGAAATACAGCATTATGTTACAGTATCTTTTATATTGCTGTTACATAACCAATACCTGATAATAAGGGAATATTTAAATAGAGTGTAGTATATCCATATTATACAGCCATCAAAACTGAAGTTGGTAAAGGCATTTTAATGCTGACATTAAGTGAATCTAGCAAACTTTCAAATTGTAGACCCAGTGTGATCCAAACTGACCTTCCCCCACTGTTTCACAGGATGCTTATAGGAATGCTATAAATAGAAAAGTTCCATTTTCCAGCAAGGTTGGAAAGTTATTATAGGCATATACTTTGATGCTACTGGAAGCCTTGTATAGGCAAATAAAATGGGAAATAAAAAAAAAAAAAAACTAGGCTCAGTATACAGGGTCACTGTTTTTATGCAGGGCATCCTAGGGACTGCTGCTCATGAAGCACATTTCAGAAAACCCTGGAGGCAACATCTAGGAAAAGATTGCCATGTTGAAAGGGGTCATGGCTATGGTTAGTCATGGAATTATTTTCTTTCTTCCTTGGAATTTTTTGAATTGCCCTACAAAAATGTTGTAAGTGTCGTGAAAGGAAGCGAGCCAGAGGATCATTCTCCACCCAGCGTCAGCAGGTGTGGAGTGCTGTAGAGTCAGCTAGCACACAGATTCAAAATGGCGGGCATGCCTGAGAGGAGAGCGGCGCAGAGGGTGGTACGGAGGCCAGGACAGGGGAGCCGCCCAGCACTGCCTGGTTGACTCTCATGCTCTGCGTACATTGCAAAGGGCATGGGGTGCAGTCAGGGTCACAGCTCTGCCACCTGCTCCTACTGCACCCGGGGACTGGCCAGGGATTTCTCCATGCCTCAGAGACCATCCCCAGGATGTGAGCCATCTTCCACGTTCTGGAATGCGCTGCCTGCCTATTCTTGATGGCAGACTTCAAGTCCGAGGTGCATTGGATGGGCCTGCTTGGATTTTGATGCCCCCTCCTTAGTTCCCCACTCTTCTACTACCCCTAGACTCTGTCTCCAGGTCCTCCTGTGTGCCACTCCCACACCACTGGGTCAGCCCAAGAGCCTGCCCCAGCCCAGCATCTGGTCTCAGGCATGTAGCCAGAGGCATGTAAACTTGGTTAGGACCTCAGAAGCAGGGACTGAGCTGTACATGTAGTGGGGTGTAAAAGGATTTGGGAAATACTTGCTTGGACACCTCCTGATTACCGTCCAAGGGCCCCTAAAATATTCATCAGGCTTTATCAGGCTAATGGGCTTCAAACGGAGCAATTTTCTGAAACATGAGATAGGACAATATAAAAAGAACATTAAGGCAAAAAGTCCTCTTCCAAAATGAAAAGGAAAAGATCATTTAGCATCCCTGTTATCTATTCATGAGAAAGAGCACATTTAACCCAGAATGGGATGTAGGAAGGGCTCTGATGCCCTCACCTTAGGGTCACCTTCAGGCAGAACTCATCTATCCTCACTGACACAGATGGCGGGGGCATTGGAGATGAGGATGCGGTGAGAGACATTTCAGAGGTGGGCTCCACAGGGTGCAGAGGAATTTGAGGGAGTGGGAGTATGGAGAAGGTCGAACATGACTCCCAAGGCACTGGCTTAAGGGATGAGAGAAGGGGCACCATTCTCCCACTTGGCCACCTTCCTGTCTCCCTTCCCAAGGCCCACTTGGTATCTATTTTGTCTTGGTTTCTATTTTGGACTGTGCTGTGGGAATTCAGCTCCTTGAGGTCAGGGATTATGACTCCATTCTAGCCCCCAGTGTCTCTACCCATCCATTAAAGTTGGGTTTTGGTCACCAGCCCTAAGACCAGGAATCTTGGGCACAAAAGTTGCGAGAGGCCATAAGTGTAAGAGTGCTCTGTACCTGTCCAGGCCAGGAGGACCATTTATGGTCCTTCTCTGCCTCCCCATGTCCTCCAAAGTAGGATGCAGGTGAGTCCCCTCGGGAAGACTGTCTTTCTCAGAATGCATTTTGCTCGAATTGAAGGGGCCATGAGGTCACTCCTTTGTTGCTCCTGAGACAAAGGAATTGGGCGTTCTTACTCTTCTGTACTCCATCCTCCTTCCTCGTCCCCTGTTCTTCGCCTTCTGTCTTGCTCTTTCCTAGCCCCTAATTCTCTCCCATTTTCATCTTTCTCTTTCCCTTCCTCCTTCCCTTCTCTATTCCCACCTTCATTTCTACTTTCAGTCTAGTATCTTTCTTTTCTAGCCTCACCTATCCCCAAGCTTTGGAAAATAATTTCAATTTAACTCTTTTCTCTACTAAAGAACTAAGAAAGATTTTATACAAAGCAGATTTAAGCTGTCACCCACCCTGTCCACCAAGACCTGGCCCGGCTCAACAGCTGTGAATTACGTGACCAAGATACTTGTCTGATGATTGGATTCTCTGGTGTTCCTCTACCCCATGGTTTGCCCCATCAGGTTTGATGTGAGCTTTTCTAACCTCACTTATAGCAACCATTATATTCATTGAGTTCTTTGCAATAAGAACTTTGGACCCAAAAATGTCTTCTCTCCCCTTCATAATCAGAATAAAAGCCTGTTTGAGGTTTCATTGCATATTCAATTTTAAGTGTTGCTTCTCTTTCTTTTCATTAGATATGTGACAAAGAATGGCATTACTACGTCATCAATGTGGAGTTCCCTGTAGTTACCTTATACATGGATGGAGCAACATATGAACCCTATCTGGTGACCAACGACTGGCCCATTCATCCATCTCACATAGGCATGCAACTTACGGTTGGCGCTTGTTGGCAAGGTAACTCTGCGTCAAGCCCTTCTCCCTGGCCCATCTGTGTACAGTCCATGAAAGGTACTGAGAGAGAAAAGGGAAAAGCAAATGATGTGAGAATGAGCCTAGAAAATTTACTACCCCTTACTAATAAAACAGGACCTATAAAAATAAGGATTAATCCAGACACTAAACTTGTGTAAAAATAAGCACTTGACTTGAGACCAGATTTTGATTTTAGATCAACATGAGCAGTTTCATGGTTGCCTCTGAATTGTTAGTGCCTTTTACCATTCTAGAACCTTCTCTGATTTCAAACTGGGGCTGTCTACACAGAAAAGGCTGAATGTAGAATCCCATATCAAAATTGCCATTTGACTCTATTATAAAGTGCTAATCTGGAGCGAAGGATCTCCTTTTATCCCCACACAAGTTGTGTGATAAAAGCTCCCCAGCCCTCTGCTCGGGGAGCTTACAAATATGTAGGGCTGTGGGGGTTGTGTTGTCTATCGGCATGAGGCCATGGGAGGCCACTGTCAAGCTCAGCTCAGCTCTGAGCCCCTTCCCCACTCACTAAGGACAGAGACTCCTTTCCACAGAGTTGCCTTTCCACTAGAAGGTCCCCGCCCCCTCCTCAGTTCCTCTGCTGCTGTTTCTCCTCCAATCCCCAAACTGGAAGGCTAATCTCCTCTTTGGAAGCAGGAAAATCAGCTCTTTGAACATACATTTCACCTTTCTGTCTTTCACTCAGATCTGTTGGAATCTTTGTTTTTGCTGCCCTAAAAGCTGGGGTGCTTTGAAATACCAATGAAAGAACAGAGGGGAAGAAAAATGCTTCCCATATAAGCAGATTAGTACTCTGACATGACCCAACCTCACGGTGACGGATTCTTTGAAAGTTACTGAGATGTGTGACTTTGACCATTCACCATGCGAAGCTGAGGGGAGAGGTGGGCTGTGGAATAAGAACATGCCTCCAGAGAACCAGCTGACCAAAGAGTGAGCTAGGGGACATATAGACCCCACTGGGTTGAGACAAAGAGTGGGTGCTGGACCGCACCACGCAAGATAAGATGGAAAGATGCACACGTAGCACAGCCTGGGAGCACTACGGGTACAAAACCGAGGAAGGAATAAAGCACAAATGAGGCAAGGGAAGAGGATATATTTTTGAGCTGGGGTCACTGACGACATCTGACATATGTCACATGATACTGAAAAGTTCATTGAACATTTCAATAGAACTTGGTAAGAGCTTCATCAGTATTGCTGAATTCCCCAGGAATTCAGAAAAGGGAGACTGTCATCTGGAGAGAGTCCATGAAACTAATTAGCGTAGCAAGCCACTGATTCAGAGATTGCACAGGAATCATTAGTCACTGGACACCGTGCTGGCCCTCTCCTATGGCTCAGGGCCTCAGCCGGACACCACAGCCAGCCTGTGGATATTTGGGGACATAGCCTGGATGCTGCCCATAAGTTAAGGGGGCCCTGTGCTGTCCTCACTATGAACCTCACCATGACGCTTCCCTTAGAGGCCCTCAGAGACCACATCGGGATCCCTGTCCCCACAGCCTCTAGTGGAAACCTGCGCCCACCTCTACAAGGCCAGTTATAACCACTGCCGCCCAATTGCATGTCCTCTAGGTGGGGAAATAGTCCCACCAAAATAAAAAGTGCTTTTATAAAGAATTAAGATGACCTCTTAGAATCAGTTACCATAGGCTAAGTTGTGCTGCAGTGACAATCAAGCCCCAATTCTCAGGTACTTAAGACAATTTTCAGTTTATATTCACTGCAGATCAGTGGGGGCTCTTCTCTGCTCTTTCCTCAGTCTGGCACCCAAGCAGACAGAGCAGCCACGTTGCTTCGTACTACGAAAGAGGAAAAAGAAAGCATGATGAATGGTGCGTGAGCCCTTACAGCTTTGACCTATGAGTGACACCAATCATTTTTACTCACATTTTATTGGCCAAACCAATTCATATGTCCGCACCTAACTCCAAGAAGGCAGGGAAGTAAAAATCTCCAATGTGTCTGGAAGAAAAACTGAAAATATTTTATGAACAACACTGATGAGCACCATGGTCCGTCCACTTAGTCAACAGATATTTGACTGTCCCTCCCACATAAAAAACACAACCACCCTTCCCTAAATGAGGCAATGCAAAATGCCACCTGTTATTGGCTCCAAGCTCAATGTCCAGATCCTCTGAGTGATTCCTGATGATCTCTCCATCAGGCTGAGAGGCATAGGTGGCTCTCTTCCTCAGGACCAGATGTGACTCCACTTGATCTGGAGACCTATACACGAACAGGGAGAGATATCTGCTGCCACCACAACCATCACCCCCTACACACACACACACACTCACACACACACACACACACACACACACAGTGCAACAGTGGAACAGTGGGAAAATGCAGAATAACCAGAGAACATTTCTGCTAAGAGGAAGAATTGGAGAAACACAGCAGTCTTTGGTCACTAGCAATTCTGAAATCCCTCTGGGCACATGCTTTAAGGGCCCTTACCCTAAGGTGGGGAGTGTTCTTTGTCACCCCTGACTCCATTTTCTGGGAGGTGTTTCCTTCTCAATATTCTCCTAGGCCACATCTAAAGATGGTGGCATCACTCCATAAATAACAGCACTAATACTATATCTGATAACAATTTATCTAAAAGCTATTTCACAAAAATGCTCTTAAAACATTAAACCAAAGCATAGGTTTATTTTTTTTTATAATTTTTTAAAGATTTTTTGTATTTATTTATTTGATAGAGAACGGGAGAGAGAGTGAGAGAGAGCACAAGCAGGGGGTGGGGGCAACAGAGGGAGAGGGCTGAGCAGGGAGCCTGATGCGGGGCTTGATCCCAGGACCCTGAGATCATGACTTGAGCCAAAGGCAGACGTTTAACCCATCCAGGTGCCCCATCATAGGTTTATTTTAAAAGAATGTGGGAGAAAGTGCCTGCAAGGGTGTTCACCACCGAGTATTTCTGCCCCCTTCCCAGAGAGATGCTGGAAGGTGTGGTCAAATGACTTGCTTTGGCCAATTAAATGTGAGTGGAAGTGCCTGATTCATTTCCTGGGTGGAACTTTAAGAGCCAGTGTTGCAAGGAGGCCCTTTCCAGACCTGGGTATTTACGGACAGTCCTGTGAGAAAGAGCTAGGAGTCCCAACGTGTAGATAAAGAACCTGAGGCTTTCAAAGGTGAAGTAGCTGACCATAGGTCACCCAGCCAAACCTGCCTGACCCCAGGTCTTCAAAGCCTGTCTTTTCCTCACTGTGACTTATTCCCCCATTGCTGGTTGATCATTCCGTTGATGTCATTATGTGTTTGGGAAAACGCAGGAGCTGATGCATAAAACTTCTGACACATCTGTCAACTCTGGAATGAAGCCACAGCAACCCTACATTCCACTTGCAATCCCTTGCTATATGCTTCCTTAAGTGACCCAAGGAAAAAGAGTTTAGGCTTTAGAGTCAGAAAATTTTGAATGTGAGTCAAACCCCCATCCTGCCACTTCCTAGCTGTATGGACCCAGCAGAATCTGCAACTTCCCAGAGCAACTACTTTCTCATCTATAAAACCAGGCTAATACCTCCCTTGTCATTGTAAGGAAGAGGTGATAGGTACGTGGAGCATGCTTGGCATGTTTCACTTGAATAAATGTATCCATGGGAAACCATCCGCTGGTCCCCTCCTCCATCTCCTCTCTGCTCCTTGCACCTAAGCCCCACACGGTGAGCATGGTATGCTCTGTGACTCCAGCCTCCCCGTGGCTCCTCGCATGCACGGACGTTTCTCCCCTTCCCCAGGATGAACCCTACCATACGGACCCTGCTCTCCTGGGTCCATCTGCAGGTCAGAAGGAAGATCAGTGCGGCGGGAGAATAGCCAGTCAGAAGACGAGTATCGGAAGACGCTGTAGGCAGGCCCCTGATCGCACAGTCTTTCGGGCCATGGAGATTTGGGTATCTTCCCTGAGAGGAAAGATAATATACCAGTAAATTTTCAGCAAAGGAGACAATCCTTAAGAAGCTTGAAACTTGGGCTTTCTAGGATAGGTGAGCGTTCAGCAGGAAGATAAGGCAGGCAACAGTAGGGAAACTTCACAGAGGTCTGTGCACCATGCCCTGTCACTGGGAGGTACAGGGACTGGGAGGAGTGCAGAACAGGCTGGGAGGAGTTGCGACCAGTTGTGACCATAAGACACCAGACTGCCTTGTGAGGGGGCTTGGATTCGCATGAAGACTCACATCCTCCCTGGAGCCAGGCTTTGTCTTGGAAGAACACGTCAGAAAACCTTTCTGTGATATTGACAGCCCACGATGCAGCCCTTATTTGGCATATTCCTAACTTTCTTCAGGCCACTTACATGCATATTGTAAACCCGCTGGGAGAGCCTCTAATTGCCTCTGGGCCTGCAATTGTGGGGAGCTTTTGAGGTGCTTCTGAGGTTGGCAAGGAAACAAGTTCCCATTTGTGAAATTTCCAACTGGGGTTTCACAATGTGGATAGGAAATAATTTGACAGCAGCTGCTTGGTGGATGCTCCCGGGAACGGGCTCCGGCGCTGTTGCTGGGCAGAGCTCCGCAGCCCCAATTAGCCTGCTCGGTCCTGTTAGTGAATTTGAAAGCCAAAGTAATCAGTAGGACTTCATTTTCACTGGTGTTTTTTCCAGTAATTAAGAAAAAAAAAAAGAGACTTCATTTACACTTAAGAAATGTTGCCAGTACAGCCTCCAGCATGTATCTTGATTGTAGAGAAAGGCTTTGGCAGTGAGGATGGACCTGGCATCACAGAACAGTTCCCCTCCGTGGCCGTCGCACACCGCCTTGCCTTCACCTCTGCGCTCCGAGTCACGGTGGTCTCAGGATGAGAGCACACCCTCTCAGGGCTGAGCTCCGTGTGGGCCAACTCAGAAACTGCTGCCTTTCGGCAAATTCCAGGTTCCTTGTCTCTCCCTGGGTCTTGTCATGGGAGACGATGATTTAAAAGATGAATTAATTTGCCCT